TCCAACTAAATCTTCTTTTCTTCAAATAAAGCAGTTTCTCTTAAGGGTTTATCCTCATGCAACAAGTCTAGCTGGATTTTACTGAGATGGCCACACAGTTAATTTATCTTCCCAAACATGGAGGGAATTCAACTTCAAGTATCTGTAAACTCACTGATTGTGACTTGCATTTGCTTTACACATAGGTATTATTGTAATAGTGTCCTGTCTGTCTTATTTATGGTGAACACCGAAGTCACATGCCAAGAACAACATCATGAACCTTTTTTCACTTCTTGGGTGAGTGTAACATGAAATTTCTGTCTTATTTCTGATGACTTCTTGCCTTCCCATTATCTTCTTTCCCAGTATGTGAAGAATAAGGTAATTACAGGTACCACAGTTTTAGCACAGGGATACGTTCTTAATCATTCAAACCCCTTTCTTGACCTGCTGTAATTTACATATGGCCAAGAGTCTCAGGGTACACACTGCATACCTCTGTGTGATAAGGAGAGGAAAGGCTGCAGGCAGGACCTCAGCCAGGATGACTGCAATTCCCCTTGGCTCCGGCCATTCCTTTGTCATATGGAGTTTGACCAGGAGCCTTGTGGACACTCAGCAGAGCAACTCAAGTGATGTCAACCTCAGCCTGGTTCACTGTCTGCTGTAACTCAGCAGTCAGCACACCCCAGAGCTCTCTTGCTGAGCTTGGGATGCAGTGCTGAAACAGGACTCATATTTGCACTGCTTCCAGGTGGTCTGCAGCTCCAGGGAGGTCAGACATCCCTCTGCCAAGCCATTGGGTGCACCCCGTGAGCTCTACATAGCCAAGCTCAAGTTTGCACTCAGAAAAACATCCATTGTCCATTGTCTGACGTGTAGTATTTAACTTTTTTGTATTTAGAAAACATTGATATAATTGGAAGATTAGGAAGCTCACCGAACACTGAAAATGAATCAAAGACTGTTTTTAACACTTAGAAAACTCTAGGTGAATTTTTAATGGCATACATTAGATATTGTTCTTCCTCTAGCAACTACATTGCGCTTTTACTCTGACAGGGACACAAAAATTTTGTGGGCAAGAAGTAAACTTGACGAGAAAGGAAGATGAACCACCATCTCTCAGAACCTTAGTTACAAAGCATACAAGGGCAGTCTGTTTCCCTTTTCCTTTTTTTCCCAAACACCGTTAATCCTGATACTCAAAATTTAAGGGTGTGCCTTAGGACTCTGTGCTCCTTCAGGACTTTTCAGAGTCCTGGATTCAGCAGAACTCTAATTTCTGAAAACAAGGACATGAACAGTTTATCAAGATACTGGCCACTCTGTGGGACGTACACAAGCTCTTTGTTGTCTTCCTTAGGTTGCACTTGTTTGTAGGCTGCTGTACTGAATGACAAAAAGGATTAGCTGAAGCAAACCTGTGAGTGTGAGGGGAGGCAATGTGTATATATATATATATATATATATATATGATCTCTGCTTGGCCTCTGGACATCTGGTTGTAAGAGAGATGCAGGATGCCTCATTTCCTCAGGCTGTTATTGCTGCATCAGCATGGTGAATTTTATTGCCTTTTTGGACTGTTAGTTAGAGGATAAATGAAGACTGTTGATTCAGAGGTGGGTGCATAAAAGAGGATGCGAGACGGCATCACATACCTATAGCTTACATGCTTGTAAAAATGTGAGTGAGGAGTATTCTGTTGCTGAATGGCTTGAATAATTTCTTGAGGGACACGGGAAACTCCCACTTCGTAGGAAGGAAGAGTATGGAGGTGTCTGCTGGAGCAGGTAGAGGTACAGTTGCACACATACATACATACTTACTCTGTCTTTGTACTCTTCGTTCTCAGAAGTGTGAGCTTCGCACACCTTGGTGTTCTGGCAGAACATAATATAGGAACAAACACTTTCAGTGATGACACAGTACTTTGTCAATGACAGTTTTCAGAGTCTTTAAAATCAAAGAGAAGATTGAGAGAAACAAAGAGATTGGAGTTATCATCCAGGTTTGAAACTTGGAGTTGAGCTGAGAAAAATATTTGTAATAAGTGATAGGTAAATCAAAAACAGTTTCAGGGAAATCAAAACTAGTTACGATAATAGGCTGCAAAGAGAAAAAGAGGAGAATTCATTAATGTTAAAATTTGCCATATATTATTTCAGAAATGTAACAATATTTTAATGCTTGAAGCAAAGTTTTTAAATTTAATTTCAGAGTAGAAATTGCACAGTACTATTTCATTTAACTCCAACACAGCTAAGTTTCTGATAGGGATGTACATAGGTGAGAATAAAAACGAGGTGTAAGTCTGAGAGACCTCTTAGAAGAAGCCCTGAGAATAGTATCTCTGTGTTATGATCGTCTCTTGCCTCCTCTTTTATTTTCATACTAGACTGTGCATGCAACATAAATCTGCTATATTGCTGCTTTTCCTGTATCAGGAAAATTTTATTTGTTCGTGTGGGTTTGGAATCAAGATTATTAATTAAAATGTATTGCCAAGAACACCAGGGTCCTTCTGGGACCCTCTGTGTTGCCAATGTCTAATCCACACTTAGTGTATTATATCTGAGAAGACTTCTCAGTTAATAAATAGAAACTACAGATTTAACTACCTCCACCATATGTCACCGTATTCAGTTCATCGCCTCGACTAGAAGCAGACTAGCTTTAAGAGTCATTCCTTGCTGATTGCCGCCCTCTGCTGTTACTAGGTATTTTACCAGCAGTAATTCAGAGAGAATTCCTTGGTTTTCTTTTGGGCACTTTGAACATTAGTCTTTGCCATCCACCCTTTCACTCCAAAACTCAGGACTGTTGAAGAAACTTCTTTATGATACCAGTCAAATTTAGACAAATCCCTTTGAAATAATTTTTACATTACAGCTGTATTGCTTTGCCATTTTTCAAATTCCAAGATACAGTTTGCATGCCATAGGCATTTGTTTTTTTGGTATTTCTCATCTTCCACTTCTGAAACTACACAAGGGAATATGTGTTAAAGAACATTTTATCTCAGATTTATACTAATATCTAAATAATATATGTTTGGGGATCTATGATAATCAGGAATAGTCCTTAATTATTTATGGTCTCTTTCAAGAATTACAGTGTAATTCTATGTACCTGATGGCATTTCTAGCACCAAGTGACAGTGGCAAATGCTTTCTCTTTGAGCAGCTAAACTTGTAGTGTTGGTATTACACACTGTTCTCCACATTACTGTGTCAGCCTGAAATACTGACCTTGGTCAGCATTTCAGGACCAACGTCAAGATCCAAGGGCTCGTCAAACATCTACTTAAAATTATACTTGATGCTTTAATCATACTACTTTCATCCCGATTTAAGGGATTTGATGCTTGAACCTTTATGCTTGGTGTTCCAATATGAGGTACTAATTTTTCTACAGATTTTTTTCTCCTAATCTCGTTTTTAAGGGTCCATTGAATGTATTATTTTCAGTTATCTTAGGGGGCTGGAGATGTAAATTTCCCTTTCATATTAATTTCATCTGGCTTTGGTCTAATACTTTTTTCCTCAGGTAAATCAAAGAAATTAATTTACTGTAACAGTGATTGCATTCTGCTCAGTTCAGTTTTAGGCTTTCATATTTTGTCTTATCCATAGTGCTATGGAGTTGTCATGTTCTTTCTCATGCTGACATCTTTAGAAACTTATTCAACTCACATCTATGACTTCTTAAATGATTTCAAGTTTTTATTTCTGAATGTCTTCTGCAGGTCAAATTTCAAGGTGATACCTTTGAAGCATCATCTTCCAAATGAAACACTGAAGAGGGGTAACTTTTCTCCAGTCTGATCTTTCAAAAAAGCTTGTAAATTATAATCATCTAGGGTGAGAAAGGTAATGTGACCAATGAAAAGGCATTTCTGTGGTAGCCAAATCAGACTTCAGCCTCAAGTTTTTTATTTTCTTGGCATATTTCGAGAACATAGTGGGTTTTTTCACATTGATCAAGTATAACATGCAATACACACCTAATATAAATTGTTCATCCAACAGTAGGCAGGTAATTTGAAATACAAAATGACTAACTAGACACATACAAGATTAGTTTTTCTGTGGCAGCTAAGAAAAGATTGTATTTTTATTCGGAAAAAAATGAAAAGATATCTCAAAAAATACGCATTACATTGCAGGCTATCTTACATAGTCTTTGCTTTCAGTATACAGGTCCAATATAGACTTTTAACTTGAAAATACCGCACTCTGTTAAGTCATATCACCAATTTTTCTGTGGTCTGGTAAATTCATTAAAACTTTTTTCTGCATGCCTGGAAGTCAGAGTACAGTTAAGGCCATGCTGACTATCTTGGCTTTGCTCTCAGTGGAACAAAGGATTGTGTCCCAGGGACAGTCAAGCACAGTTTGAAATCACACTTGCCATCCTCTCCTCTATGACTAGGGCAGTCACAGCGATAAAGAACCAGGACCAACTTACTAGTGACTTACTGCTCAATTTTTCTTCAATTTGAGTAGTCGAGAAACCATCTTTGAAGAATGAAGAATAACAGCAACCATCACACCCCAGAAGGTGGCCCTTTATACTGTCAAACTCGGTCCGTTAGCCCCGAAGCCAGCCGTTTCAGCCCCCAGACGGGCTAAAGCCCTGCCTGCAGTAAAGCCCTCCTCGCCTCACGAGAAGCCTGGCTGCGGTAGAAAGAGGCGAGCAAAGAAACACAAGATAAAATACAGACTCAGATGAGGACACTTCAGCTTATCGTTGCGCTGAAGATCTGGAACCCGACCCAACACACAGTCCACCCACACCGCCCTGCCCCGTGACAGCACCCCGCTGCGGGCGGTGGCGTCGCTCCACTTTCCTGCGCATGCGCGGGACAGTGGGGGGGGAGAAGCCGCCGTAACACGCAAGCTCAGTGGCGGCGGCGCCCCGCCCCTCCCCGTGCCGCGCAGGCGCAGACCCGACCCCCCC